ACGTTATTTCTAGTTTCAAATTTATCCCCGCGTCTAACAGAATTCCATGTGTGCATCTCATTAACTGATGTGGCGTTATTTCATTTGTCCACGTGGGCCAGTGGGGCTAACATTATATTTGGGTATTATTTTACCCATTAAACCGATCCGACTCATTCCTTTTACCTACTGGTCATTCTTTTAACCCTAAACCTACAGACAAAATATTCATTTTTACCATTTCTCTCATTTCTTCTATCTAACCTATCAATGGCGATTTTAGGGCTTCTTTAGGGTTCATGGTTTGGTCAGATTTGGTGCGCACAAAACAGGAAGAACTTTGATTTCCAGCGATATCTTGCATTATCGTTCGATTAAAGTAAGTATTTACAGCTTAAAGTTATTAAATTGTAGGGTTGCGGAATATTTGGGAATTGACAAGTTTATGTCTGCTACATGTGATGTTTTTATGTTTTCTGAGCTATTTTTTGTACCTTTCTAGAATTTTTTATGTTTCTTTTATTTTTGGTGGTCCTTATCGTATTAGTCCTACATATTAAAGCTAGGGTTTTTGTCGATTTGTATTTTTAACTGATGGTGGGGTTTCATATCTTTATATTTTTTTGTCGATTTGTATTATACTGCTGATGTGGTCCCATTTTGCCCTTTTTATTGTTGTTGCATGTGATTTTATCCGAAGGATGGTGGATAAAGTGAACTTATATTTTAATTATGGGGGTGAGTGGGTATTGGAACCTACATTGTCTTATACTAAGAGAGATGTGTACGTGTTGAGTGGTTATGAAGTAGACCATCTCTCTTATATTGATTTGTGTAAAGAATACACTGAAGTGATAGGATATGTTGCGGTACAACAGTTGATATTTCTTGACCCTTCTGGGAGGTATTTTTTGTTAGATGGGGATGAAGGGATTAGGAAGAATCAAGCCCTAATTAATGATGGTTTCACCGATGTACAATTATTTGGTGTTGACCTGTTGGATGATACTCTAAATGTTCTTGTATTTACCCAGTTTACAGCAGCAACAGATCGTGTACCTGTTGCTGTAGCTTCTGACTGTGATAGTAGTGAAGATGATACATATATTGAAAGTGTTGATACTGATTATGATAGTGATGCCCTAGGTTTATTTGAGAGGCAGAAGAAGTATGGGTAACTGACCAACTTGATAGGTATAAAATATTGGAAAAAGGTATGACTTTCAAAGATCTTGCTGAAGCTAAGGAGGTTATTGGTTATTATGCTGTGTCTAATATGAGGGGCCTTCAGGTAGATAAGAGTGATAGGAGAAGACTTAGATACAAGTGTCAGATTGGGTGTCCCTTTAAATGTCTTATTTCTAAAGATGGCAAAGATCAAGGGGTAAAGATAAAAACTTGGAGGGATGAACATGACTGTGGTGAAGTCTGAGAACAGAAGAGCTACTCCTGCTGCTTTAGCACATTATTTTAAGAGAAAGATTCAAAATAATCCTAAGTTTAAGATTAAAGAGATGAAGGCTGATTTAGAGGATAGATTTAGTTTGAATGTCACTGACTCAAAGTTAAAAAGGGTAAAGAGAATGGTTTTAGACAAATTGGAGGGCAGTTACTTGGATGAGTACAACAAATTGGAGGCATATGCTCAAGAGTTGAGAGAAACCAACCTTGTTACTGATGTGGTGATACAAATATCCAAGGATGCAATGGAGGAAGGTAAGAGAAGATTTTTGAGGATGTATGTCTGTTTCCAGGCCCTCAAGAGTGGATTCAAAGCAGGTTTGAGACCTTTTATAAGTCTAGATGGAACCTTTTTAAAAGGCAAATGCAAAGAGATGTTGTTAGTTGCTGTTGCTCAAGATTCTTGCAAGCATGTGTATCTACTAGCTTGGGCTGTAATGGATAAGGAAACAAAGAGAACCTGGCAGTGGTTCATGGAGAACTTGAAGGCTTCTTTGGACTTGAAAGATGGTGAAGGGTATATATTCATGTCAGATATGCAGAAGGTATGTTACCATATGCTAAGAATTTTTACATTCAACAGATTTTTACATTTAGCATATTCTTTGTTAATGTAGTGTTTCTTTATGTGTAGGGTCTATTAGATGCTGTAAGGAATGTATGTCCACAATCATATCACAGATATTGTGCAAGGAATATTGAAGCAAAAATTGGAATACTGATGAGATGAAAAAGTTAATGTAGTGGTGTTCTTGGAGCACATATGAGGAGGAATTTAAGGACATGCTAAAACAGTTAGGTGAAGTGTCTGAGGATGCTGTCAGGGACTTGCTGAATTATCCTCCAGTAACCTGGTGTAGAGCTTACTTTGATACCCAGTGTATGAACCCAATGGTGGACAACAACTTTACAAAGTCCTTCAACTCTTGGATTCTTGAAGCTAGACATAAGCCAATTGTGAAGATGCTTGAGGATATAAGAGTGAAGGTGAAGTTACTGATGACTAACTGACTAAATGTTTGTTTACTGTGTTGCTGATTAACTACTGTTGACTAACTGCTTCTTTACTGATTAACTACTGTTGATTAACTACTAATTTACTACTGTTGACTAACTACTATGTTACTGACTAACTACTGATTTACTATGTTACTGATTAACTATTGAAGGTGATGAATCAACTAAAGGATAGACCAGAAGAAGTTAACAGTTGGAGACGTGAATACAGCCCATATGCAATGGAGCTATACAATGATTATAGAGAGATGGCTTCAAAGTGCAAGGAAAATTTTAATGGAGAAAAGGGTTTTGAAATAAGTGAAGGTGAAGACAGGCACACAGTGATTCTGGACCAACTCAGCAATCTAGTCATGACACTCAGCAGCCAACTCAGCAATCCAATCTCTACACTCAGATGCCAACTCAGCACTCCAGTCATGACACTCAGCAGCCAAGTCAGCAATCCTGTCATGACACCCAGGCAACTGAGATGCCAAGTCAACATATTCAGACCAGAAGAAGGCTTATTCAAGCAGACTTTGGTGCAGAAGCTGACCCAGTTTTGAGGCCTAAGGTTGTGTCTGATATTAAGACTAGACTTCAGCGTAGGAATCAACAAAATTCTAGGACTAGGAAGATACCATTCACAGGTGATCACACTGGTAGCTCACAACCAACAAAACTGCCATACTCCCCAAAGAGAACTACCTGGAAGGGGAAGGAGGCAATGACAACAGATCAACTGTTGGGTGTGAAAGAGAAAAAGATTGGCAAACTTAAAGCTAGAAGAGACAAAGGGAGGGGCAAGGGGGAGTAGTGTAGCAAGAAATGATGAATGTAATATACATTAAAATCCTTTTTTTGCATGACTGTTCGAGTACATGATGTTTGTTTATGTTCTAGGTTTTTAGAAAAGTAAATGTTGTGACAGTGGTACAGGTTTTTGGATCACACATTTACTTGTCTAATAGCAATGTTTTATTGGGCTTAAATCTTGAAACAATTTATATTTGCTACTCGATTAATGGCAATGTTCTTGTCTATCTATAAGAGATATTTTTATTTGTTATTGTGATTGTCTGTGCATGTGCACCTTTACAAATGCAGAATTAAAATATTGTATGAGAGTGAAGGGAATGGTAACAAACTTCATTTCATACTAACAGAGAACCATTACAAATGCAGAATTACAAAATCTGAACCTAATACATAAACATTTGCAAACTTCATATTTCAATTTTGTTGTTTAACTTCAAACTTCATCTGAACCTAATACATAAACTTCAAACTTCTGCAACATAACATAACTACACTACATCATCTTGAAAACTAGTACCAACACAAAGAATCCAAGAAAACATAATAAACAACTTCATATTCTGTAGTTGAGCCTCCATCCTAGCAACATTCTCTAATTTTGCTGAATTAATTCCCTCCACCTCTTCCATTATTTTCTCCATTTTCAGTCTTTCAGTAGAAACAACATCTTCCAAGTTAGCCACCAACTTCTTCAGATAATTTCTTTCAACTTCCACTGACTTCAGTGAAGTATTCAAGTTATGGATTAGCATCGTCACATGAGGTGGCATCTCTTCATCCCGCCATTCCCACAAACCACATGAAGCTTCCTCGTCAAAGCGAGGGCATTTTTAGAATCTACGACCATCGTTCAATTGAGTCTTAGCCACATATTGATTTGCAGTTAAACCACAACCACAACGACGTGATGAACTAGAAGAGACAGAATTTTCAGACATTTGAATTTTTTGTTATTCAATAAAGGCGGAACTTTTACAGCCAACCACAAAATTCGAAGGAAAAAGATAAGATTTAATTAGTTGTAAAAGAGAAATTTTGGGGAAGAAGAAAGGGGAATAGGGGAACCGATGACCTAGGTTCTAAATTGGGGAAGAAAACGAGTAAAAATGTGGGTTTAGGGTTAAAAGATTGACCCATAGGTAAAAGGAATGGATCGGATCGGTTTAATGGGTAAAAAATACCCAAATATAATGTTAGCCCCACTGACCCATGTGGACAAATGAAATAACACCACATCAGTTAATGAGATGCACACATGGAATTCTGTTAGTCGCCGGGGTAAATTTGAAAATAGAAATAACGTCCTATATATTTTCAGACGGATAGATGGACAGGGGGCTTTTATAAACCATTTACCATATGATAGGGGTACTTTAAGACCTTTTTCATTAATTTAATAATTTTACTATTTCTCTAATTAAAATGTTCTGTAATAAATTTTTAATACTCTTTCTTAGATTTTGGAAACTGAAAAAACTCCTAGTCGCGGAAAAATATTTATTGAAACTCATAAGAGAAGCAATGGATCGTATTTTATAACATTATTTTTATTATTTTTGTATAACATTTTGCATCTCAAGTTTTACTATCTTGTACTTACTAATTAATATTTTATCTGCTTGTAGGAACAAATTGAATTGATTATGACTTAATGAAATACTAATGAGTGTGAAGTTTCCCCAAATGATGTTACTGGAAAGATGTTAGGGACAGAGCACTCCGGGAGAGTATGATGTATGGGTATGGGAGCTGGTCCTTCAAACACATTCAGGAATACCAAAGGACGACTTAGTGATCTGAGTGCTTCTTCATCTAGCTACAGTGCATCATCTGCAATATATAACCATTTGCAACAAAAGCTTATGCGTGTGGAATCCCAACTAGAAGGCACCTTAAATGCGCTGATGGTTTACGTGATGTCAAAGGAAGGTTCGGTTCCCGAAGAATTTGCGGGTCTCTTTGCTCTTCAACCACAGGTAAGGAGTAAATATAGCTTGTATTTCTTCTATTACAACTTCTGATCAGTTCAATATATAGCATTGTACTTCTATATGAAAAAAAATGAAATCAACAAAAATTGTTAAACATAGTTCATTAGATCAAGCTCTTTTGTAGAAGAGATTCACTATGTCTAAATATTGCTCTCACAATGAACATACTGCTGATTCTTTAGTGTTTTTAGATGTCCCAGTTGTTGATCTTGTCTCATCCACCATTTGTTGCACATTCTCATCATCCTTCTTCGCAACACTAACATGATCCTCAACCAATACATCAAATGAGTTTGAAATAATGGTGTTCATTGATGCTGTAATCTGGTTTTTAGAACCTTGAGAATTTATATTGTTAGGTGAGTGATTTACAACTGTGCAAGCCCTATGTTTTGCTTGGGAAGATGCACTTCGCTATTGGTGATTAGGTATTAATAAATCATATATTGTCACATTCACATCATGAATGGACCATAATCATTTATATGTGTTTGACAAAATCTCATGTCAAATCGATGACAAACATTACTTTCACGTAGTGAAAGATTATTTTGAGAATCTTTATTATTCTCATTATCACAATGATGACGATTATAATTTCGTCTATTACCACGTCCACATCCATTGATACCTTCACGGTAATAATTTTGTCTTCTTTCAGACTTGTCACATATTGCTACCACATTCTCTTAAGGGAATGAGAATGAAGCAAATTCAATGGGACGGATTTCCACTTCTTATGCTCACGATCATACATGACTTTGATCATGGCAAGACATAGAAATTTTATCACTTCGAGTGGTTATAATTTCTTACTAACTCCATTAGAGTTATAATCAAAATTTGTTTTCTTTGTTTGTATTTAAAATCAAATTGTAGAATGTCATGAATTTAAAAGAGAAAAATAAAGTAAAATACTTACCTTAAATCCGGAGTTTAATCATGAAGGAAGTTCATGGTGTATGGGTCAAAATTTGGACGACCTCGGCCACTGACGAGGGATGGAACCCTCACGACACGGCGTCCTCTGGTCGTTCAGGAAGGCGATGACTGGTAGCGGCTGGAGACCGTACGACATTGCTAGTAATGTAGGGGCAGCACGAGCTCATTAGGATATATGTTGGAATATTCTTTTTTGTTATACCTTTTAGGGTTCAGGAGGGGATTGTCCCTTATAAACAGGAGGGGAAGGCTCTGTAATGGGGCATCTTTTCTCTCTCTTGAATATTCAATTGTAAAAGAAGAATAGTCCTTACAATATCTTTCGATATTCAAAGTTACCATATCGATGCTTACTCGTTTAATTTCATGGTATTAAGAAACATTATCCATTGTATTCATCCTCAATATCTTTCAATCTAGATTTCACTATTCTTAGCTGAGATTTGCCTCTTCACCTTTTCTGATTGACTTAACCAAAAAGATCTCGATAACTTTTGGTCAAACAATTTGGCGCCGTCTGTGGGGATTTCTTAAGCTAAGATTTTAGTTTCATCTAGATCCTTGAAAGGGATAATCACCTCTTCTCTGCCTAGCAAAAACCGACAATGGCAGGAAAGGGAGACGCAAGATTGAAGGCAATAGTAGGTGTCATGAACAACCTTCTGGATTCCTTCAACGAAGCCAGTAGGGAAGATAACGAAAACGCAACACCAAGCGCTACACCTGAGGGAAATACCTCACACCCCCCCCCCTGNCCCCCCCCCCCCCCCCCCCGCCCATAAAAGCGTGACTGCCTCACGCGAGAGGGTAGCCTCAACATCCGCAGCAGGAGAAACACCACCAGCCATGAAAAGGCTGTTGGAAGAGTGGTTGACAAACACTCTGAGTAACATACTCGACAAACCTGTTCAAAGGGATATCGGAGATTACATGCAGACATCGCAACTGTCGCCGGTGCGCTAGAAACCCCACACGCAGGCGACACTCATACTATCGCCGATACAGGTAACGATGCACTCGCATCCATCTTAAAGAAAATGGAAGAAATGGAAAATGAGAACAAAGCGCTTCGTGATCAAATGAAGGAGCATCAAGAAAGGGTCGATAAAATACCGGGCGCTCCGAAGTTGTTACCAAAACGAGATGTTGGCCGATTCGTCGAGCAACCATACAGTGAAGGGGAAGCCCCCCACTCTATCCCAAAAACCTTCAAAATGCCACCATACTTGAAAATATATGATGGTACTACGGACCCGAAAGATCACATAATCCACTACGTCACAGCCGTAAAAGGCAACGATCTGTCGAAAGAGCAGGTGTCATCAGTGCTGCTGAAAAAATTCGGCAAAACCCTGACAGGGGGAGCGCTGACGTGGTATTCCCAACTACCGGCACGGTCAATATCGACGTTCGAAGAAATAGCAGACAAATTTGTCACCGCTCACGCGGGAGCGATAAAGGAAGAAGCCAGGGTAAACGACATCTTCGCCGTTAGGCAGACGACGGCCGAAGGACTCAGGGATTTCGTAGCCAGATTCAACAGGTAAGGATGAGCCTACCAAACGTATCAGAAGGGATAGCGGTAGCGGCCTTCCAAAATGGGCTAGATAGAAATGGGTCAAAAGCAACCAAAAAACTGGTAAGTAGGCTCATGAAATATCCTCCCACCACTTGGGAAGAAATCCATAATGCCTATTGTGCCGAAATGAGGGCAGATGAGGACGACCTAAATGGTCAGACTCAACGACTAACATCAGTCCAAATTGAAACAAGGAGAGATCACCGCAATGATGGCCGAAGGGATCAACTACCCCATTTCAGTCGAGAAAGGCACCAGCCCTACATCCGTACATCCATCCCATCTCCTCTCCGACATACAGATGCTACTCCTCAACACACCGCGCCACACCGAAACGAAAGAGGTATGCCTCCATTATTATCCGCTCATAACTTTTGTGTTTCTCCTTCAGAAATAGTGTATGCACTAGAAAAGCTCGGCACAAAGGTACAGTGGCCACAAAAGATGAAATCCGATCCGAGCACCCGAAGATCGAATGTTCTGTGCGAATTCCATCAGGAAAGAGGGTATAAGACCGAGGACTGCATAGGCCTGCGACAGGAAGTAGTAAGAATGCTAAACTAGGGACACCTGAAGGAACTGCTGAGCGATCGAGGACGGGTTAACTTCGCTCGTGGATGCGACCAACCTCAAGGACCCCCAAAACCACCTTCACTCGCTCGTACCATACAAATTATCATCGGCAGCGGCGATGATACGGTAATCAACCATGTAAAATTCACCACTACCCACAAACTCAAGCGGACACTCGCTCAAGAACGGTACGACGACCTCGAAGACAATATCATCTTCGATAAGTTGGATACCAACGGTTTGTCTTTCCCTCACTATGATGCTCTGGTTATAACTTTACATGTCGCGGATACCGATGTAAAAAGAATAATGGTAGATGACGGAAGCGGTGCGTGTATTATTCACTCACGAGTCCTCACATAGATGAGACTCGAGGATAAAATAATACCGCGCTGCATAACGCTAACGGGTGTTAATAATGCAGTGGAATGAACCTCTAGAGAGATAATGCTGCCCGTTTTGGCCGGAGGAGTCACTCTGGAAATGACGTTTCACGCCATGAACCAGGAAACAGCCTACAACGCTATCATAGAGCGCCCATGGATACACGCCATGCGATCCATCCCATCAAGTTTCTATCAAGTAATCAAATTCCCTACACCATGGGGAATATTCAGCGTCCGGGGCGAGCCACGCACCGCCCAAGAATGCTACCGAATCGCCCAAGATTGCACACACACCCAGCAACTAAAGGGATCAAGTGCGGAAGCATAGCAATCAGCCATGTCGAGAGCCAAACCCGACATATAAATAGAGGCCATCAAAGACCCAGATGTCGTAGAAGCCTGCAAGGCAACAGTGGAGGACCTCGATCCCGTTCAATTGGACAGCAACCACAACACGAAAAAAGCTTATATCGGGCACAACCTCTCAGAACCAGGTAAGTTCCATGAGTTTTTAACTAACAATGCCGATTTATTTGCCTTTTCCCATTCAGATATGCCAGAAATCCCAAGGGACATCGCCACACACAGACTGAATGTCGACCCCCTTAACCCTCCTATGCGGCAAATGAGGAGAAAGTTCAATGCCACAATCAACGATGCAGTCACCGAAGAAGTCAATAAGTTGCTCGCTAATGGTTCTATCCGAGAATCAAAGTATCCTCAGTGGGTCGTCAATGTGGTCATGGTGAAAAAGAAAAATGGGAAGTGGCGGATGTGTGTCGACTTCACCGACCTAAACAAAGCATGCCCAAAAGATTCCTTTCCGCTACCACATATCGACTAGCTCATCGATGCAACGGCGGGGCATGAATTATTGAGCTTCTTGAACACCTATTCCGGTTACAACCAAATTCTAATGGCAGAAGAAGACCAAAAAAAGACCACTTTTATTACTCACCGGGGAATGTACTGCTACAGAGTCATGTCGTTCGGACTCAAGAACGCGGGAGCAACATACCAAAGGTTAGTCACCAAGATGTTCAAAGAACAACTTGGAAAGACTATGGAGGTCGACATCGACGACATGATAGTAAAATCAAAAAGGAAGGAAGATCATATTGATCATCTGAAGGAAGCCTACGGAATATTGAGGCGATACGGAATAAAACTGAATCCCGATAAATGCGCCTTCGGCGTAACCTCTGGTAAGTTCCTCGGCTTCTTGGTGTCACAAAGAGGCGTCGAGGTCAACCCAGATCAGATCAAGGCCATCGAAGGAATACCGGAGACATTAACCAGCAAAAAGCAGGTGCAAAAATTGACAGGACGAATAGCCGCCCTGTCGAGGTTCATCTCACGATCATCGGACAGGTGCCATAAATTTTTCAATGTGTTAAGGAAAGACCACGGACTACAGTGGAATTCAGAATGCGTCGACGCCTTGAGAAAGCTGAAAGCGTACCTGTCCTCGCCGCCATTACTCGTTAAGGCAGATCTAGGTGAATGCCTCCTAGTGTACCTAGCAGTCTTCGAAGTCGCGGTAAGTGTAGTTTTTGTCCGTGAAAACGAAGGTACGCAATCTCCAATTTATTATATCAGCAAAACCTTAATTGACGCCGAAACAAGGTACCCCCACCTTGAGAAATTAGCCCTGGCGTTAGTCATAGCTTCACGAAAGATTAGACCATATTTTCAATGTCACCCCATAAAGGTGGTGACGACCTTCCCCCCTCAGGGGCATCCTACACAAACCCAAACTATCGGGTAGGTCGGCCAAATGGGCCATAGAATTGAGCGAGCACGATATAACTTATCAACCACGAACTGCGATAAAGTCACAAGTGCTCGCCGATTTCGTCGCCGATTTCAGCACGGAAATACTGCCCGAAGAGGAGCAGGAGGCGCTCCGCACTTTCGCATGATCCGACCTCTGGACCCTCTACACTGACGGCGCATCTAATGCGTCGGGATCGGGACTGGGACTCGTCCTCGAAGTCACTACAGGCGAAGTGATTCGCCAATCCATACAGTACCCCGAGATGACTAACAACGAGGCCGAGTATGAAGATGTAATTACAGGATTGAAATTAGCCCTCAAATATGGCGCTCGATGACTCGTCCTTCATTGCGACTCTCAACTCGTGGTGAATCAAGTCGCTGGGACTTTCCAAATCAAAGAACAAAGATTGCAGAAGTACCTGTCGGAAATTCCCAAACTCCTACCAGAATTTGATGAATGGCGCCTCGACCAGATACCCCAGGCGCAAAATATCGAAGCGGATGGTCTCGCCAAGCTAGCGGCAGCCACCAGAAATATCAACAAAGAAAATGTGGTCACCCTTCTCCATTCCTCGATAGACCAGGTCGAGGTACACTATATAAATTTAACTTGGTACTAGCGCAACCGTATCATAACATATTTGCAGGAAGGAATGCTCCCACAAGATAAGAAAGAAGCCAAAAAGCTCCGAATGTAGGCGGCCAGAAACAACGTCGTGAACTATGATCTCTACAAAAGGACGTTCGGCGATTCCCTGGCCAAATGTCTTGGGCCAAATCAAACAAGAAGGGTACTAGAAGAAGTACACGAAGGTCACTGCGGCACCCATACGGGAAATCGTGCCATCGTTAGATCCCTCATCCGCGCAGGATACTACTGGCCTACCATGAAAAAAGAAGTCGCGGACTACGTCAGGAAATGTGAGAAGTGCCAAAAATACGCCCCTATGATACACCAAGCAGGAGAACTCCTGCATTCCGTCACTTCACCATGGCCATTCATAAAGTGGGGGATGGATATTATCGGGCCCCTCCCAGCAGAGCGAGGTAAGGTGCGCTTCCTTTTGGTTTTAACTGATTATTTCTCTAAATGGGTGGAAACAGGTGCATACACTCAAATACGCGAGCAAGAAGTTATCGCATTCATATGGAAAAATATAATATGCCGCTTCGGCATCCCCAAAGAAATCAGTTGCGACAACGGACCTCAGTTCATTGGGAAAAAAACAATCGAGTTTTTTGAAAAATGGCACATCAAGCGAATACTCTCTACACCGTATCATCCCGCCGGCAACAGCCAAGCTGAATCCTCCAGCAAAATGATATTAAACATATTAAAAAAGAAACTCAAGGAGGCCAAGGGGCTATGGCCTGAACTACTACCAGAAGTACTATGGGCATACCGCACCATGCCAAAAACCAGTACAGGCGAGACGCCATATTCATTGGTCTACGGGACTGACGCCATTATACCCGTCGAAGTCGGAGAACCTAGCCTGAGATATTCCAACGAGAGCGGATCAAGTAACGACGAAAGCAGATTACAAGACCTGGATAAAGTCGTAGAGCGAAGAGATATGGCTCACGTAAGAATGATAGCCCATAAGCAACAAGTAGAAAGGTACTATAACAAGAAAGCCAAAGTACGACCTCTCAAAGTCGGGGACTATGTTCTTAAAACTAAAATGCAAGCGGCAAAATACCCAAATGAAGGAAAACTAGGAACAAACTGGAACGGGCCATACAAAATTACGGCAGCAGCAAACAAAGGAGCATTCCAATTAGAAATAGTGGAAGGAAAACTACTCCAAAACAACTGGAATGTTGCCCATCTCAAATACTTCCACTTCTGAAAAGAGGCATCGCCTACGTCGTACTCTTTTTCCCTCACCCGAGTTTTGTCTCAATCGGGTTTTCTCGGTGAGGTTTTTAACGAGGCGGAAAGGGGGACGTCTCGAGGTCCGAAGTATTGTTCATTGCCCTGATCGCTGCCAACTCAGTACTACACTAAGGTAGGAAGAGCGGGTCGCAACAGCTTTTACCCGAATAGTGGTTCGGGATCGAATTTCCACAGGGAGCTAGTAGTGGAGTTGTAATGTCTGTTTAGTCTAGAATTGCGGTTGTGCTTCCAATATCACTTCAAACATCTTTGGTTTTGATTTTTATATATACTATTATAAGACTAAAGTTTAGAACTAAATTATGCTACGGGAATATTGCTAAGTTGTAA